AATGTTAGATATGTTAATACACTGGGATTAATAACTGTCGTGATGATGATGATATGCTGGAGTTCTAGGGCGCATCGAGGACCAATGGTCTGGCGGCGCCCATAATTAATTACCGTCGAAATGCCTACTGGCTGCAGGTGGGTCGGGTCGCCAAAATTTTCGTTGCATTCACACAAAAATCGAGGGCTCAGCTTCCAGTGGTAATTTCGCGTGATTTCGCGAGAAGAAAACCATTTCTTTGAAGTGCCGACGAGAAGTGCTGTCCGATGTGTAACTACGCATAAGGAAAGTCGCACTTCCTCACATCCCCAAATGAATGCAATAATATCGCCTCACGAAATTGAGTTCACGTTCATCCTGGATGGCGGCAGAGCATTTCTAACACTCTCGTTTAATCATTCTAATTGCGGCCGCCGTGGCTGGTCGTGAATTTCCGATGCGCAGTCCAAAGCGCACGGCCGGATCACTCCGGATAAGGTCGGCGGCGGACAGCCGTCAGGCTGCGGTGGGGCGGCGCGGTAGGGGAGGGGGGGCGCCGCTCCGGGCGGCTGACCCAGCTGACCCGGCGCACGGCGGGCCTCTGCCGTGTCGTGGGGTGCGGGAGGGGGGGGGGGGGCGCCGCTCCGGGCGGCTGGCCCAGCTGACCCGGCGCACGGCGGGCCTCTGCCGTGTCGTCGGGTGCGGGAGGGGAAGGGGCGTCACTTCGAGCAGCAGACCCAGCTATCGGCGCTGACCCAACGCACTTCGGACCTCTACCGTGTGGTGGGGTGCGGAAGGGGAGGGGGGGGGCGCTGTTCTCGGCGGCTGACCCAGCTGCCGGCGCTGACCCAGCGCACGGTGGGCCTCTGCCGTGTCGTGGGGGGGGGGGGGGTAAGGCGCCGGTCCAGGTCGCCGACCCGGCGCATGGCGGACCTCTGCCGTGTCGCGGGCGCGCACTTCGAACAGATATGATCTCTTGCAGCTGGACACGACGCCGGCAGGGGGCGCGGAGGACGCGGCACATGTGAGGACCTCTGACGTCACTCGTAACTCAGAGCCAATACGCTTTCTTCATGACCGCGCAATGTGCATTGAGGTGACGTCCGTTGTACCGCGATGACTTGGGAACAAAAGGAGCATTTCATAGTGCCTGAAACCACCCAGGCCCATCGATTTTGGAGCTCCTTTGTTTGCGATGCTGCCAAAAGAGACAAGCAATGCCTGCCGGGCGCACGTCCAATGGCTTCGCATGACACTTCCTGTTGCCGTCACGGCATCGTGGTGCGCTTCACTTTATCATCAAATTGGCCGTGCTGGTGGCATCCAGCAACCTCACTTACCGTTCGTTACGCTGGTGCGTCACGTAAGCAAGCCGCCACTGCTCTGCCCTGCCAGACTTTGCCAGGGCTCGCCGCTGGCTGATTCTGATCTGCGACGATCTAGGCTTCAGTGCGCGCATCGAGTACTTCGCGATATTCGTTTCCTGGACCATCAAATCGGTCTTTGTACTGTGCTGTGCATCCGCTTTATCGCCAGTCAGACAGTATTGATCGTGGCTTCCACTTCAGCGCAACACGGACGCCGAGCGTTCGTCGCCGCTCTCCCACCGCTGCCGACTGTGTCGGCGAAGGCGCCCCCTCCTGAGTGTTCACTGTCCCTCATCAGACAACCTTTGCCCCCGAGAGCGTCCCCCTGTGCCTCATCTGACGGTCTCTGCCCTCGCGAGCGTCCCCCTGTCCTTTATTTGACGGCCTCTGCTCTGTCCCTCATCAGGCGACCGCTCCCCTCCCGAGCGTCCCCCGTCCCTCACCAGACGAGCGCTGTCCGCATCTGACGGCCGCTGCCCTCCTGAGTGTCCCCCTGTCCCTCATCAGACGGTCACTGCCCCCAAGCGGTGCCCATCACAGGTGGGCGACGGCGGCTGCGGCTCGCTGTGACGCCCCGCTGTGGACGGCGCCCAGCCGGGCCCTGATACCCGGGCAACTCTGATGGATGCGCCCAATTTCATGCACGGACCTGAGATTGGCTCTCTAGGCGGAAATTTGCTGCGGTCAGAAAGACGAGCAAGACCTGGCCGGGCCGCGCTCTTTGAACTGCTACCAGGCATCAGCCGGTCTGATCGACTGCATAGGCCTGTGGGCGCGGGCGCGGCGTGATCACAGCGCGCTCGTAAAGACGGAACGAAGCCAGACAGCCACCGGCAGCTTCCTGGCGCAGTGCAGCAGCTTGCAGGCTGTTCGAACTGCCAGGTCGTGAGTTGGAAGCTTCCTGGTGCGTTACAGCAGCTTGCAGGCTGCTAGAACCGCTAGGTCGTGAGTTGAAAACTTCCTGGTGCGTTACAGCAGCTTGCAGGCTGCTGGAACCGCTAGGTCGTGAGTTGAAAGCTTCCTGGTGCGTTACAGCAGCTTGCAGGCTGCTAGAACCGCTAGGTCGTGAGTTGAAAGCTTTCTGGTGCGTTACAGCAGCTTGCAGACTGCTGGAACCGCTAGGTCGTGAGTTGGAAAATTCCCGGCGCGCTGGTTGCAAGCTAGTAGAACCGCTGGGTGGTGCGTTGAGACGGAGTGTCGCACTGGTGCTCCGGATGAGACTTGATGACGGTGACGGGGCAGGTGGACGACTTGCTGACCATTCTGGCTGTTGGTGTCGTCAGCCTCCTTCAGTGTGGGAGGCTCAACGTCATCAACATTCCTTACATTCCTTAGGCGTGTTTTGGTCCCGAAGTCCTGATGTCGATCTTCGCTGCCAATTTTGGTTGAGTGACACCTGCGCCGTCGGGGCCCCAAACTGCGTGTGCGTGATCTAAAAGACTCATGTCTGCGAGTGAATGTTCGTGCCTCGCGTGAAGTCGACCAGCGGCTCGTCTTCACGTCTGCATAGAGCTTGATTCATTACGCCGCGATAACACGGCCAGTGAGCACCTTTGGCGACGGTGGCTTCAAAAACAGGCCCGCTGATCGGGCTTCGATTCGTGTCGAAGTTCTCTTCACATAACTGGGGCTCAAACATGCATGCGACGGCATTCCCAAGCCTGAGAGTGGACTGTTGTGTTCGCGTGACATGCCATCAGGCTGAAAGGCAGGAACGCATATTAAGTTCCCCCAGAGGGCAAAAGTTCCAACATTTGTGTAAACTTGGGGCAGATGAGTCGTCCGGTCTGGCATATCGAGCGGTGCGAACCTGCGTAGAGACATCGCAAACACAGAGGAAACGTTCAAGTTATAATTGGATGCATCTTGCATATTTTCTTCGCGGTGCTCGTGGGCGTTAATTAGCGTTGTTGCTAGTGCTGTGTAGTGAAAGGCGGGGACGTCGCCCATGGTCCATTGCCAATGCCGGATATGCTGGACTAAACCGGCGTGTTTGAACTTGCCGACATGTGGACAGCAGACCCCGCGCTTAAAACGCTGAGCCACGACGTTTTTGTGCAGATCATTGATCTCCCTCGATACGATATCAATTAACCACAATGACGATGTCCATCCGCCAGGGTCAGTCTGTTGTGTGGCGGTCATCTGGTAACGATGATGATGATGATCATCATCATGTGTGGCGAGCGCTCGTGAGGGATAACACGGGGATCGGCGGACTGGCATTCAGTGGACCGGGCACGGCTGCGCGATGGGCCACATGCACCAATGGCACGTGCGCTGTCTTTTGTTTCGCTAGTCGAGCATGTTGCCAAGCGCGGTAACTATTGCTCCGGCGGTACACTCGGACCCAGACGGCCCCTTTTTGAGGACATGTCGTGAGCCTTTTAATTGGATGGATTCCTAGGATCAGGGCGCACGCTAAGCAGTGTTTGTCGCGTGTGCTTGAGTTCATTAGCGACGTCACATGTCGCGCGGCCGTCATGCGTGCACACATGCTTGTTGACACCGTTCCAAGCTGCGTAATGTGCTTGCGATGGAGCTATGCCACCCGACGAGGCGCGCTACAGCGAACACACACGGCAGCACCGGTCGGCCGCGACACCGCCGCCATGTGCCGCTACTCGCCTGCGCGTGAATGGCGCCAGTGGCGGGACAGGTGGACGCTTGAGTGGCTCCCTATGTGGCACGTTCGAGCTGTTGCCCCCGGGGCTGAGAAGATGGCCCAAGAGCCAAGTGTCTTCGTTTGCGCCAGGGTGCCTGTTTTTTTCGGGTGGTACATTCGTCCACGCCGAACGCTAAAAGCCACTTAAAGAGAGTCTCGCCCGAGGGGCACGTTTGGAAAACACACTCTTGTTAAACCTCAGGACTGGTTACGGCTAGTGATAGCACTGGGAAGTGCCACTGAAACATCGTCAGCACGTGATACGGATATCAGTTTTAGTTATTTTGAGTCAAAATTACGCTGTCAACGCGTTGTAAAAGCACTGCGCTTTTCCTATGCAGTCTCGACCGCCGGCGTCATGACAACTACCCGGCGCACTCTTGCTGGTGCGAATGAAGAGACGTTTGTGATTGGCCCAGCGGGCAAAGACCTGTTATCGTGAAGCACACTGGTTGAAGTTTGTACCAGTGCGTCACATGGATCATGTGACACTCCCATTCCCAAAGCCAAAGTGCGCCTCCAGAAGAGCCACTGTGGTAAACGCCGCAGAGGAAACATCAAAGCCATAGTATAACGCGTTGAATATGCAGGATGAAAGCTTCGTGTTCGCGTATGTTTTTGTCTGAACAAAATGTACTGAGCTTTCGTGGCATTTAGTACGCAAACATGTTGACACATAAGTGTGTTGCAAGCATCACAGAACAAACGCGCCGAAAGCAGCAAGGCAAATGAAAGGTATTACTTCCGTAGCGGTGGGCAGTATGCCAAAAGAATTTATCCCGCAGGCTCAGCTACCCCACCTCAAAATCCTGAGGTATTCAGAATTATCTCGAGAAAACTGGTAGTACTGATCAAATCGTGGTATTACTGATCAAAATGCGTGAGATGCCCGAGCCTGGCCATATGTGAAAAGCACAAAAACGTGGGATACTGCCTCGAACTGCGGCGTTTGACGTCACCGTGACCCGGGCGCGGCCTCTGCTCGGCAGACACGTACATCCAGAAGACGAAGAAGACGTTCATGGACAGCCGAGCGCGGCGGAACCTCAACAACATCCACGGCGAGCTCAACGACGTGCAGCGCATCATGATGGAGAACATTGACGACGTGCTGCAGCGGGGCGCCGCCCTCTCCGGTCAGTGGCAGCCCGTCCTCGAGGCAGTAGCAGCCCACCCTCTCCGGTCAGTGGCAGCCCGTCCTCTCCGGTTAGTGGCAGCCCGTCCTCGAGGCAGTAGCAGCCCACCCCCTCCGGTCAGTGGCAGCCCGTCCTCTCCGGTTAGTGGCAGCCCGTCCTCGAGGCAGTAGCAGCCCACCCTCTCCGGTCAGTGGCAGCCCGCCCTCTCCGGTTAGTGGCAGCCCGTCCTCGAGGCAGTAGCAGCCCACCCCCTCCGGTCAGTGGCAGCCCGTCCTCGAGGCAGTAGCAGCCCACCCCCTCCGGTCAGTGGCAGCCCGTCCTCTCGAGGCAGTAGCAGCCCACCCTCTCCGGTCAGTGGCAGCCCACCCCCTCCGGTCAGTGGCAGCCCGTCCTCGAGGCAGTAGCAGCCCGTCCTCTCCGGTCAGTGGCAGCCCGTCCTCTCGAGGCAGTAGCAGCCCACCCCCTCCGGTCAGTGGCAGCCCGTCCTCTCCGGTCAGTGGCAGCCCGTCCTCTCCGGTCAGTGGCAGCCCGTCCTCGAGGCAGTAGCAGCCCACCCCCTCCGGTCAGTGGCAGCCCGTCCTCTCCGGTCAGTGGCAGCCCGTCCTCTCGAGGCAGTAGCAGCCCGTCCTCTCCGGTCAGTGGCAGCCCGTCCTCGAGGCAGTAGCAGCCCACCCTCTCCGGTCAGTGGCAGCCCGTCCTCGAGGCAGTAGCAGCCCGCCCTCTCCGGTCAGTGGCAGCCCGTCCTCGAGGCAGTAGCAGCCCACCCTCTCCGGTCAGTGGCAGCCCGTCCTCTCCGGTCAGTGGCAGCCCGTCCTCTCGAGGCAGTAGCAGCCCACCCCCTCCGGTCAGTGGCAGCCCGTCCTCTCCGGTCAGTGGCAGCCCGTCCTCGAGGCAGTAGCAGCCCACCCTCTCCGGTCAGTGGCAGCCCGTCCTCTCCGGTCAGTGGCAGCCCGTCCTCTCCGGTCAGTGGCAGCCCGTCCTCTCCGGTCAGTGGCAGCCCGTCCTCTCGAGGCAGTAGCAGCCCACCCTCTCCGGTCAGTGGCAGCCCGTCCTCTCCGGTCAGTGGCAGCCCGTCCTCTCCGGTCAGTGGCAGCCCGTCCTCTCCGGTCAGTGGCAGCCCGTCCTCGAGGCAGTAGCAGCCCGTCCTCTCCGGTCAGTGGCAGCCCGTCCTCTCCGGTCAGTGGCAGCCCGTCCTCTCGAGGCAGCAGCAGCACAGCTTATCCGGTCTGTGTTAATCCGTCCTCTCCGGTCAGTGGCAACCCGTCCTCTTTTGTCGGTAGCAGCCTGCCTTCTCTGGTCTGTAGCAATTCACCCTCTCCCGGCAGTAGCAGCCCGTCCTCTCGAGGCAGTAGCAGCCCGTCCTCCCCGGTCAGTAGCAGCCCGTCCTCTCGAGGCAGTAGCAGGCCGTCCTCTCCAGTCTGTAGCAGCCTACCCTCTCCAAGCAGTAGCAACCTACCCTGTCCGGTCAGTAGCAACCCACTCTCTCCAGGCAGTAGGAGCCCACTCTCTCCAGGCAGTAGCAACTCACTCTCTCCAGGCAGGAGCAACCCACTCTCTAAATGCAGTAGGAGCCCGCTCTCTCCAGGCAGAAGGAGCCCACTCTCTCCAGACAGTAGCAACCCACTCTCTCCAGGCAGTAGCAACCCACTCTCTCCAGACAGTAGCAACCCACTCTCTCCAGGCAGTAGCAACCCACTCTCTCCAGGCAGTAGCAACCCACTCTCTCCGGTCTTTAGCAACCCACATTTTCCGGCCAATAGCAACTCACTCTTCCCGGTCAGTAGCAGCCCATCCCCCGATCAATAACGGCCCGCCCAGCTGTGTACCAGACTCATTGGGTGTCCCTACGTGTCATGATTACTCTAATAGACGTGCCCACTCACCTGTCCGCCGTTAAGTTCTCTAACACGCATTCTCGCTCGCTAACTCGGTCTTGTGCGATGTGCGATACATTTTTGGCACACCAAGGTCAATACAATAAATCTGCATCATACCAAGAGACATTGGTCAAGCTTATCAATGAAAGGCTGCATGCATTACAAGAACAGTTGATATTAAAGATTATATTTGTGGGCATCACTTTGCCATGAGCTTGTGGTCAGAGTGGATCGCAGTCACAATAACTGTCCCGACATATCCTCTTTTCTCATAATGTATTCTATTGATTTGGTAATCTCGTTGTTTAGCCAGGTTTTTTGTTTTGTTTTATGATCATCCCTGCTTTAAAGATCACGTATTTTCAGTGCATGCTTGCAGTTGTAAAATATTGAGAGCTTTATGTCTGACTTGCCTATAATCGTCTCTGGTCCATTACATGCCGCTGCATCCGTCCACGTCCCTCTGGCTTCGTCGTGTTCCCTCTTCCTGTCCCTGCCCTTGCGCATGTCCGTGCCCGTGCCTCTGTCCCTCTCCCCTTCCGTGTCCCTGTCCCTGCCCCTGCCCCTGTCCGTGCCCTTTGCTGACCCTATCCCTTTCCATGTTCCTGCCTTCGGCTCAGTTGCTGCGTGTTTCCCCCATCATGCACGTTTCCTTAACCATGTTTCCTCATTTTGTCTCTTGGTGTTCATGTGTTTCGTTGCTACGGATTGCGCAATCTCATCACGCTGTAGCTGGACCGGCCGTCAGACCTGTCCTTGTCTCGCCAGTCCCGACGCCGCGGAAAAGGCGGACCTTCTGCACAGTCACCGGCGTGGCTGGCGGTCTCATGCCCCTCTGGCATTGACCGCCACTCACGGCCGGCAAATTGCATGCATGTCTATGGAGGCACTCACCCCGAGGGCGTGTCACGACAATGGGAAGAGCCGCTTCGCCGCACGGTCTGCCGTCTGCCTGCTGACAATGAAGTCCATCAATTACCGGGACCTGTACCACTTCCCTCCGCTCTGTCACTTGGCCGGCGCTCCGGCCAATCAACGCGATGCCGTGGGCGGGGCTTGACCTCCAGTGTCAAGCCAGAGGCCTTTTGTGGGGCTCGCAACACCTTTTACGGAGAGTGCCGTACATTCACGGCGGTTGTCCGGGTCAGTTCGATCGGAGCTGTAGCCCGAGCGCGTCTCACGCGAGCTGTGATAAGATTGTGAGACTGAACGGCCATACCCGACCGCCACGGGCTTTAAGAGCTAGAGCTAAGAAGCTTGAGCGAAGAGCTGAGAGTAATTTGCGTAGGAACTGTTTGTCTTGGCGTGTTTGTTCTGGAACGCTGCAGCGTGGTGAGGGGCCACTTCCTCGTTTGATTAGCACACGCTCGTGTGGGATTGGGGCTAGCTGAAACTCCGAAGGTTTTTACAGAATAATTTCCGAGGGCTTATAACCGACACATTTCCCGACCATTTTGACAACGGGAATGCAATAGAAGTACTTTGGATATTGCATGTTTTAATGCATGCTAAGTCTAGGTCCAAATCTGCCAAGCGTCCAAAATCACATTTGGCTTTGAAATGCCTGCCGTAAATATCGATGGAAAAAGATAACTAGTTTGGAATTCCTGCGCGCAGACCAATGCCACGCGTTGTTGCATCGTGTTAAGTGTAGACATTGGAGGACAAATTCATTTTTATACCATTATGATTAGGGAAATTAAATTTTGAAACGGAGTGGTGTTGACAGCAACACGCAACAAACACATTTTCCTTTGGGAATGTGGGCGAATTTATGTGAAAAAAGCATTAGAAGGTGTAATCTCTGTTCAGTTCTGAGGAAAATTTGCGCGATGCTAACTTAGCGACTCATCGTGCATGCTGACTCGATGCTTTGAAAACAGCAAGTGAAAAGTGCCTTTTTGAAATCACCGGGGATGAATGATAAGACAAGACGATTAAACTTTATTGCTGTGTCACTCAGTATCGCAGCCACAAATGCCATCCTGTCAGCTTTAAGTGTGTTCAATACGCATAACGTTAAAAACACGGACGTTGATGTTTAAACAACCAGCCACACATTGTTCTTCATCTTAGAAAATAACAAAAACATTGAAGCGTACCCGCATCGCTTCATGGTTGGGTCCCCAAGTCCTTCTCAATATCACGGCCATCGCCAGGCTCAAGGCTGACCAGTTTTCAAGCCTTATTATGTGTAAACTCCTGCGTGATCGCTAGGTAGCAATTCACATCCGCCTGCCAAACTGATGAAGAGATGTATTTAAATGTGATGACGAGAAACACTGCCGTAACCTTTCAAAGGCGACCAGTATCCTTCGCGTAGTTTTTTTTTTATTTCGTTGTGTGACGGTAACACTTCTATCACCTTGCCTGTCCCGCGCCGTGGACAGCGTCTCGCTGGTAATTGCGGACGGTGAAGGGCAAGGACGGCGGGGTAGGAGTGGTGCACCCCACTGTGACAGGAGTGCCGAAAGCCAATTTGCAGCCTGCTCTCATGGTGAGCGACGCATGATAGAAATATTTCGGTCCCGACAAGTTGCGTTGAAGGCGAGATGGGTGAACATCCAATGTTAATTACTGTAGGTGGGGACTGAGTGAGGAAAAACGTAAGGGGGAAGAACTTGTTTGAGTAATGACATAATCAGCAGGCAGCGTATTCATCGCTTAGCAATTCCTTAGCGGGTGGCCGTTATGGGCGGTGATCTCCGGCCACCTTCCAAAATGATGAAGAAACTGTTGCACTGTATTGGCTCTTACAGTGCATCAGCCGTGTATGGCTATCGATGGCGGGACACTGCAGGCTAAGCTGCGCATCCCTTGAGTGGATGGCCTTGATCGTCTTCTACCCCCGTTGTGTTCCACAGCACTGTGTATTACGTTTCAAAATTGAGCGTGAAGCAGCGAGACGGAACGGTGCATCCATTGGACTTTTACGTGTGCCGGCCATCCACGCGTCGCACTGGTGTGATTTCGCATCCCGCGGCGGCACGCAGAAGCATTCGGCGACGCTCATTCTCAACTCAGCCGGCGCATCGAACACGCGTCCGCCGACCAATAACGGCGAGGCGGCGCGTCCGCGGCACATTCCGGGCGCCTGGGGAGAGCCGCCGGCGACGGGCCCGC